GACCATGTGAGAGGAGGGGGGTGGGCCTGACCCTCACAGGGGAACTTCCCCAGCAGCCTGCAGGAAGGGGGCATGGGCTGGGCGGGGGTCTTCGGCTCAGGTAGACATTAAAGTGGTCCTCAACTGTAAACAGAATTAGGAAGATGAAAACCACCATTTTCAGGGGAGAGACCTTCAGGACCGATTTCATCTTTGCCTGATCATGACACTGGTGCTACGGAGATGAACGAAGCTACCAAAAAGCAGATGACACTTCCTTCATGGGTTCCCCGAGGAGCCAGGCTGAGGGCTGGTCTACACCCCAAATAAGCCTCCATGTGAAATGTTCAGGAAGGGCCAAAGCCAAGCGGATGGCACAGTGACTTCACACTGCGGTTCCTCTTGGACTCTCGTCTCTGCTCCTCCCTTCCACAGATGCACGTGGTCAAGCCCAGATGTCTCCATCTGGAGTCTGAGGTCGGGATTTTCAGGGGCAGCCACCCTTTGCCTCCTGCTCTCCCTGCAGGCAGCTGGAGGGAGGAGGCAGAACAGAGAACTAAAGGTCATCAGTGATAATGGCCAAGGGAACCATGTCACCTACGTGGCCTTCGTGTTCAAGATGCTTAACTGAATCTGATCCTGAGGAAAGAGATATGTACAGACTTTTTAGGAGACAACTGGCCTATGTTCGCTAAAAATGTCAATACTTAAGAAGGACGGGAAAAAACCAGGGGTGGTGGGACTCTCCTCCATCATGGGAGATGGGAGAGGCACACCAAAGCACCGTGCAGTGCTGGGCTTACAAAAATGTTCCCAAGGGCTGGCCCGTGGCTCACTCGGGAGAGCGTGGTGCTGACAATACCAAGTCAAGGGTTAAGATCCCCTTACTGGGCATCTTTTAAAAACAAACAAATAAAAAACCAAAAATGTTCTCAAGATGTCATTGGGACAACTGGAAAATCTGGCTGTGGACAATATATTAGATAATATTGTTGCAATAATATTAAATTTGGGGGATGTTAACGGGCTGAGTTTTGTGGCAAAATGTCGTTCTCAGGAGACACGTGTGGAAGTATGTAGGCATAAAGTGTTCTGATGACCACACCTATTTTCATGTTTCAGGAAAGCATGTGTGTGCATGCGTGTGAAAAGAGACAGAGATAGAAATGTGTGCACAGGACCAAAAAAGTGTCAAAATATTGCCTCCATGTAATTCCAGGCTGAGAGCTTACAGTGTCCACAAACTATTCTTTCACCCTCTCAGTGATTTGAAATCTTTCAAAGTTAAAGTTGAAGGAAAAAAGGTCATTTCCCCAGCCTACTTTCAACTGTAATTGAGAAACTGTTCACCGTTCGTGGGGACAAAGCCGCCTTGCTGACTCGTACAGCGCTGACTCAACACTGCTGCTCCTGCCGGCTGCCTGCCCTGGTTGCCCACGGCAGCAGCCCGCTCCCGGCACACTCCTGTGCTCACTCGGGGATGCACGGCGGGCAGGTGGCAGCTGTGCTGGTGGACGGCTGTGCTACGAGAGACCACAGCACACAGTGGGTCCTTTTCAGGGTTTATTTCATCTGCTAACATTCATTCTCGACCTAGACAGAAACAATTGGATGATTATGACTTGCTTTTCCATCATCAACTCATTTTTTTTGTATGAATGACCCAAGATTTCTTCTCAACACTTTTTTAATAAGAAGCTATAAATAAATAAAGCTTTAAATGCTCCTGGGTTCAAGTGAAGCAGTTCCAGTTGCCAAAAATTTCACAGACTCGTTGCTCAGACAATTCTGCCGTCCCTGGCTTTGCCCTCCAGGAGGGGATGTTTGCAGGTCTGTGGGGGGTGCCTGGAAACCGACCTGTAAGCTCGCTGGGTGTTGGCTTCTGTCCTCTCAGTCTCTGGGTGGGCAGAGTCCTAGAGACGAGTGGGGCCACCCGGTCCTGGAGCTCTGGCCCACAGTATCCTAGCAGTGCTGCAGGCACAAGGGACTTTCACCCCAAAGCAGGTGGCCTGAATGGGAAGTGCCATCCTGGGTTCAAGTGAAGCAGTTCCAGTTGCCAAAAATTTCACAGACTCGTTGCTCAGACAATTCTGCCGTCCCTGGCTTTGCCCTCCAGGAGGGGATGTTTGCAGGTCTGTGGGGGGTGCCTGGAAACCGACCTGTAAGCTCGCTGGGTGTTCGCTTCTGTCCTCTCAGTCTCTGGGTGGGCAGAGTCCTAGAGACGAGTGGGGCCACCCAGTCCTGGAGCTCTGGCCCACAGTATCCTAGCAGTGCTGCAGGCACAAGGGACTTTCACCCCAAAGCAGGTGGCCTGAATGGGAAGTGCCGGGCTGGACAATCAAGCGGTGGTCACTCCCAGCTGCCACTGTCTCTGGGCACCTTGGCCTGGCACTGGCTGGGTTGGGACTGCTTTCCGAATGCAGCAAAGAGACCATGAGGAGACCTGTGCTTCCATGTGAAACAGGATGGCGGGGCATAAGTTAAAACATATTCCAATATGTACAAAACAGATCCTGTGCTTGGGCCTGCACACACAGGAAGCCCATGGCAAGGCTATGGCACCCCACGTGGTTTGTGCAAGACCCCAGGGCTCCCCTGACACATCCCACCCTCCTCCCAGAAACACACCCACCCCAAATGACAAGCATCAGAGCAGATTCCCCCCACATTGACCTTGATCTCCCTTTGAAAGAGCCATGCCACTAAGTCATCTCAGCACTGCCTCCTCAGTGTGATGTACCACCCAGGAGGTGGCCTCGGCTGGGCTGGTACGGTGCCCACGCTGGCCTGCCGACCACCCTGCCTTTGGATCCTAACGCAAACTGGCCAGTGTAGAAAGCCTGGGGTGTGCTCATGCCAGACAAGTAGGGTGAGAGCTGCTCCCTCCTGGGTAGGAACCTTGTCTGATGGCACGCCAGCTTTCCCTGTGCTACGGGAGGTCTCTCACTCCTATGTGTCTGGTGACCTTCCCCTCACTCCATGTGGGACAGCTGGGGTGGCTGAGTGAAGCCTGGGGCAGGGATGAGGCCCCTGGCGGGCTCTGCCCCACGAAGCTGGTGCCCTTGCCAGCCCCTCGCTGGGGGCCTGCAAAGCCCGCTGCCCTACTTCCGAGTCAGCCTGCAGCCCCTGGGCACATGCAGTTACTCTCTCGAGAGGCCAGGGTGTCTGTGACCTTCGGTGTAGGCACAGGGCAAGAGCTTACAACAAATATGCATCATGGCTTTTAATGGGGCCACTGGCCAGCCTGTGGGTCTGCTGGGGACAGGGCTGACCAGACTTCGGGGGGGAGGGGCTGAGTATCTGGGTAGCAGGAGGCCACCTAGAACTGTTTCTTCCAGCCCTAGCTGAGAACCTGGAAGCCTACGTCCCCTTCCTGGCCACCCAGAACCACCTGTGAGACACCCCAGGGCCTGGCTCATGGGCAGCAGCTGTGGTCCATGTTCCAGCCCCTGGAAGCATGATTGTACTTTAAACATGGGGTGGTGGGAGCAGTGGTATATGAGCCCTTGATAAATGTGCCAGTGATGGGGCTTGGGCTGGGGACAGCCTGCGAACAAATCACAGAGAATCAGAGAGAATGGGACATGGGTAGTTCTGGGTCCCCGCCCCTTCCTGTCTGAGCCTGGTCTGCCTGGGTGGTCACCCCAAAGGCCAGGTGGGGGAAGGGCTCTGGAACAGGTGGCAGCAGCCCTGGCCACAGCTTTTCCACTCCTGGGACGCACTCTGCCCTAGGAAGGCGGGCAGTGCAGTTGGGGCCCTCTCCTCCCGGCCATGGGGCGGGGGTCCCAGGAGGTCTGCTTTGGTCTCCTGACACAGAGCGTGAAGCTGGATGTACTGTGGGTTTTGGCTGTGGGCCAGAGAGGGGAGTGAGCTTCCCAGGGGCTGGACTTGAGTCTTCTCTGCCTCAGATATGGTGGGCCCTGATCTCGAAGCAGCTACAGATGGTGAGCCAGGAGCTCCAGTCCTGAGGATGCCTCCAAGGGCTGCTTGAGTTCTCAGGAGAGGGGGCCTCCCAGGCCCAGGGGCACTAGGGTCACCAGGGTTGAGGGGCTGGAGCTGGGGAAGGGGCTTAGAGCTGGTCTCTAACTCCTGCTGGCCTGGACAGAGGGGCTGCGGGTGTGTGCATAGCTGGTGTGAGGTGCTCCTGGCCCATCAGGTCCACTCTCCATCGTTTGTCTCTTCTTCAAACCTTGGGCTGCAGTGACAGTGACATGGGGGCCGGGGGAGCAGGAAGGTCACCTGCCCAGAGGCCCCGCCATGCCCAGGACATCCTTCAAGTAGGCTTTCCTCTGACCCCTGGCCTGGGAGAAAGAGCAGGAGCCGCCCGCGCCCGGCCCCACCACTTCCCCGCTCTGTTTGCTTCCGCGGAGCAGGTTTGGGACTCTCCTCCCACAACAGTCTCGCGCAGCCTGCTTGTGTGTTGGTGTCTGTCTGATCTCACCCAGCCCTGAGAGGCCCCTACGCGGCTGCCGTCACTACCACTTCTCGATGATGTGGCTCATGTAGTCCTCGGTGGGCACGCGGCCCGGCTCCTCCGCGTCCTCCCGCGGCAGCGCCTCCTTGGCGCGGTGCAGCAGGCGCTCCTCGCGGCTCTTGAGGCGCTGCTCCCTGCGCTCCAGCTGCCGCTTGTACTGGTAGCGCTGCTGGAAGAGGTCCTTGGCGTAGTCGTAGAGCTGCATGTCGAGGTCGTTGAGCTCCTCGATGCGCCGGATGGTGTCCTCGTCCACCTCCACGCCGCCCGCCCGCGTGCTGTTGTACTGCATGAAGGGCCGGATGAACTTGAGGTTGAACGTCCGCTCGAACAGGTACTGCGTCTTGCGCTGGAACTCGGTCAGGCCGAAGAAGGCCATGCCCCGCAGGTTCTTCTTGGCGCTCTCCAGCAGCAGCTGGGCCCGCTTGGCCTCGGGGATGAAGGACAGGTTGTAGCAGCCCACCAGGCTCAGGTCGGCCAGCATGCGCACCTGCCGGTTGTTGGCCAGGTTGTACGGGCAGTCCATGAACTCCTGCAGGGTGCAGCCCGACCAGTCCGTGCCCTCGTAGCAGGGTGGCAGCTCCTCGGGCGTGGGCGTGCGCCCGTCGCACATGTGCAGCGACGTCTTCCATGTGGCCCCCCGCTGCACGTGCCGCCACTCGCTCAGGTAGCGGGACACGGGGTCTCGCAGCAGGGTGATGTAGTAGAACTTCCTGCAACGAGACCAGAGACAGGAGGTGAGGCTGGGGCCACTACGGGGCGTGAAGAGAGGGGGTCCCCATGGCACAGGTCTCTGCTGTGGGACCCTGGACAAGCAGCTTCACCTCTGATACCCACCATCATGTTTAGCTCTCCAAACAGCCATTTCTGAAGGAGAAAACTTGGAACCAGAGATGGGCAGGAACCTGCCAAGGGCACACCAAGTGTGACCACCACAGTCCCCTGTGGTGCCTGGCCTGGGTTCCCTTCTGCCCATTGGCTCCTCAGGAAGGACGTCCTGATTTTCCCCTGCTGGGGGCGGAGCTGCCAAACACTTCCTACCCAGGGCGGCCGCAAAGCCTTAGCTGCCTGGACCTGTGAGAGCTGTCCGCAGCACAGGCTGTGCTGTCCAAGGAGCCGCTCAGCAGGGGCAGGGGGAGCTGGGGGCCGTGAGAGCCGCCACAGTCGCAGGCCACAGGGTCCTGCCCACACCAGGGTCTGGCTTAGGTCTGGTGGTGGAGGGGTGCCAGCAGACTGTCCAGCCCAGGACCCCAGGGGAAGCCATACTTTGTAGTTTTTATCAACTCCCAGAATTGTTCCGACTCCACAAAGTTGGCCATCCTCTGAGGCTAATGTCCTGTGCTGTACGTAAGGGTGAAATGACTCAAGGAAGGCTATCCTCTCCCTGCCCCTGAGCAGCAGGCATTCAGGATGATCCGTGTCCCCGCCAGGCATGTGGACAGGTGAGCAACATATGGCAAAACGTGACACGGACCATGGGCCGCCTGTCAGATATGCCAGCAACGGGCCCTGGGTGTGTGTGCACGTGTGTGTTGTGTGTATGCCAACCCCGGGGGTCAGCAGAGTTGTTCTTGGACTCCTCCAGGGCTGGCTCCTCTGGGCAGGGCAGATGAGCCCCAGGACAAGGAGGACTGGGGCCTGGGGCAGGCAGCCTAGAATGTCCTCAGGTGTGGGTGGCAGGAGCCCACTGGGCCCCTCACACCTTTCTTGGCAGGTCTGGGAAGACCTCTCCCATGCCCAGCACTCCCAGACGGCGACATAGAAGCATGCCTACACTGTTCCCTGCCTCGTCAAGGCTCCATGAGAGCACACAATCATCTGTTATCCTCACAGTGCCCTGTGGGAAAGCCACGGGGGCACAAAGCCTCTGTCTGTGTCACTGTCCTGAACTGAACACACATCTCTCGGGCGTAAGGAGTCCTAGTAAGGTGGTGGATACCACTGCAGCCACCCCAGCCTATGAGGGCATGTCCAGAAGACCCCAGGGGCAGAAGTCCTGAAGGAGGGGTAGCCAGCTGATGGCTTTGGGGCAGACAGCCAGGCCGGCCCTACGCTGTGCAGGGTTTGTCAAGGAGGAGACAGGGCAGCTGACGTTTGTGTGGCGCTGCCTGTGGCCCCCCACCAGCTGGCAGACCCAGGCCCTGCCCTCAAGGGTCTCCCGGCAGACAGTGGGGAGGGAGAGGACCTGGGCAGAGGGCACCCCAGGCCAAGGGCCCTCCAAGGGGTGCCCGAGTTGTGGGGATGGGAGGTCTGCTTGTCACGTCCTCTCTGGAGGTCAGAGGGCAGCTGCAGCCCTCAGGGACTGGATGTGGACAAGGCCCATCTGGCCTGTGCCTGAGACCAATGCACCCTGCTCCTGCTGTGCCTCCAGGTGGCCTGAATCCCTTGGAAGCCATCTGGGGACCTCGCTGTCAGGTGCCCACCCTCAGGGACTGGATGTGGACAAGGCCCATCTGGCCTGTGCCTGAGACCAATGCACCCTGCTCTTGCTGTGCCTCCAGGTGGCCTGAATCCCTTGGAAGCCATCTGGGGACCTCGCTGTCAGGTGCCCACTAGGACTAGGCCGATGATGGCCCCTGGAGTCAAGACACCTGTGTCCTTAGCACTTGGCAGGTGCCAGGTAGCAGGTGCTTCACAAACACCTGTAGAACTAACAGCAAACAAACAAGGGCCAGGAAGGAAGGGCCTGGGGTGTTGGGAGCAAGCATCCACCCTACCCTAGGGCTCACACGACCCCAACTGCTCAGGAGAGAGGTCATCCGCTGCCCTTCTTAGCCAACCTGTGCCCAGGGAGGCTGAGGGCTGCTTGGGCCTCCTCCCCATCCTGTGGGGCCCTGACCACCTATATGGAAACAGACCAGTGTGGGTGGTTTCTCCTGGACACAGAGAACCTGGATGTGATGTGTCAACCAACAGAGACTCATCCACCCCGCCCCAGCCGGCGTCCCTGTGAGCCAAGTCCACGTGGACTTCAACGCAGCCCCAGAGGTAACCTCCGAGGGCCAGGACACACAGTGCACAGAGGGGCAGGCCCTGTCCAGGAAGCACCAGCACCAGCACCCCCACTGGCCAGGAAGTCTCCTCTGCCACTCGGCCACCTTCCTTCACCCGGAGGCCCGCTGGCTGCATCCCCGGGGTCTCCTTCAACCTCCTTATCCCTTCCAGCATTCCATCCATATCCCTACTAGGAGGAGAGGGAGAAGAGGATGGGGAGGGGTGGGACTTGAAGGGACACACGTGGCGGTCTGGGGTCTGTCCAGCTCCTAAGGGCCCTTTGAGAGCCGCCCTTCTTGAGGAAGGCCCATGCTGGGGCTGCCCTGAGACGAATGGCATCCAGCCTGGCTCCAGCCCAGCTCTGGTGTGCACTAGCTGTGGGGCCAATGCCCTCGCCCAAAGCTGCTGGGGTGAAGTGGGATAGCGTGTGCTGCCAGGCCGGCAAGTGGGTCCATGATGCTGCCACGAGGCCCTCTGGCCCTGCCATGCACTGTCACGAGACCCACCAGTGGTTACTGNACAAGTATCCTTTTAAAAGAGAGGCAGAAGGAAACTTAACACAGACAGAGAAGAGGAGGCAGAGATTGGAGTTATACTGCTGTAGAGAACTAATACACCAAATCAAAGAGGAAAGTCTTTGACGTAGTTTGCCCAGCATGTTGGAGAAGTAACCCAAGTCTGTTGTATGCTGCTTCTGAGATCCAAAGAGACCACTGGATATTCTTTTTCTTTCTCAATAGAAGGAAGTTCAAGGAGGAGCAACTTTTCTTTCATTATGTGGGGATATCTGAACATACCCAGACAACTGGACCAATTGAAATTTCATTGAGGTGAAAAGTCCTTTTCATTTTTATAAAACACTTTCTTATGTCCTAGCAATATGCATCTTACCAAAACATCTGCAGAACCTGTTACTTTCTATTCTGCAAATCCTTGCTTTATGCTGATTAATATGGTGGATAAAGATATTCACATGATTGAGACATGGTTGAAATGTGAACGGCTTTCAACCTAAACAGCGGCACCTAGCCAAGGAATTGACACTGTCTTGTGGCAAGATGTGGCAGTCTTGACAAAGTCCTGCTAACTCTGCCAGGTGAATGGAAGTGAATTCTGGTTTTTTGTGTGTTTATTGGGGTAGGGGAAAGAAAATCATCAG